TTGTGAATGCGAGTTATTTCAGTGTCGTCAAATTGGTTTTCAGGTTAGGCCCTCCTGGAGCAAGGCAAATTTGAGCCAACAGCCTGACTGTTTAATAAAGTGAGGTGCCGTTTGCAACGTGCTTAGCAGATGTGATGTGTCACTGAATAGATGGCAGATACCATTCTGATCCTGGATTAGCGCAGGGCACAGACTCCGCATTCTTCCCTTTCGAGTTATTTTGCTTTTTGCCGTTTGCTTGTTTGCCTTCAAATGCTCTCTTAATATTTCTCTGCGCTTGCTCTGCCAGTTCCCTACTGTGCTGGTATTTGGAGCTGGTTCTCAGGCTGCCTTCTCTTGCTGATTGCGTGTGTGTGCCTGGTTGGATATATTTATTTTTTAATTTGGGAGTGGAGCTGAGGGGGTCTGTCTAACAGCCTTGTTGCTGCTGGTCCAAGAAGCTGGCTGGGTTCCAGCACCTGGCCATGACATACAGCACCCTTCATGAAACCAGACAGAATTAAACCCTTTGTTTCCTGTTTGCCTGGCTGGCTTAAAAAAAAAAAAAGGAGCAGAAAAGCAGAGAGACGAGAGTGCCCAACAAGACAGTCTTTGTATTAATTTAATTAATCAGTTTAGTGGAGGGGGGAGGAGGAGGATGGGCGCTCATGTAATAAATGCATGTTTTTCTTAGGGTTTTGAGATAGTTGTGTTACAAATGTGGGACCTACAGGACTCATTAGATACTTGATGTCCTCTTGTGATCTGGCGTTAGGGGGATTGCCCTTTAATTAATATTTATTTTACCAAATTTAGACACTGTTTGGTTGTAACAACAAATCAAAACAGCTTGAAACAGTTTACAATGGTATAAAATGAAACATTAGAAAGTATAGATTGACAAAAGGTATTAAGACATTTAAAAGATGAAAACACACGTAATGTGGGTGGCGCTGTGGTCTAAACCACTGAGCCTAGGACTTGCCGATCAGAAGGTCGGCGGTTCGAATCCCCGCGACGGGGTGAGCTCCCATTGCTCGGTCCCTGCTCCTGCCAACCTAGCAGTTCAAAAGCACGTCAAAGTGCAAGTAGATAAATAGGTACCACTCCGGCGGGAAGGTAAACGGCATTTCCGTGTGCTGCTCTGGTTCGCCAGAAGCGGCTTAGTCATGCTGGCCACATGACCCGGAAGCTGTACACCGGCTCCCTCGGCCAATAAAGCGAGATGAGCACCGCAACCCCAGAGTCGGTCACGACTGGACCTAATGGTCAGGGGTCCCTTTACCTTTAACATCTGCATGTCTGAATGGACTTGCCCGAACAAAACAAAGTTTTAAGCAAGCACCGAAAATAGTAGAAGGCCGGGAGTTCCAATGTTTCAGTGCTGTCACACAGAAAGATCGGTTTCTTCAAATGCAGAACAGATATTATATGGCACCTGCAGAACAGTAGCAGTTCTGCAGATCACAGTGGTTGGTTGAGTGGGCATATATGGGGAAAGGTGATCTTGCAGGTAAACTGATCCCAAGTTGTTAAGAGTTTTATAGACTAAATAGTAACACCTTGAACTTGACTAGGTGGCAAATCAGCAACCAATGCAGATCTCAGAGCGCAGGTGTTACATGACATGACAAGGTCTCTCTCCTGTCAACAACCACAACCGCTCTACATCATTGTGCAGCCTCTGGATCAAATGCAATGGAAGCCCCACATGGAGAGCATTGCAGTAATCTATCCTTGAAGTCGCCAGTGCTGGAACTAGTCTGGCGAACCCCGTCTCTCCTTGTGCTTCTTCCCTTTTTTCCCTTAGCTTATAGGGCATCTGTTTGCAGTGCCATGAGACCTCTGCCACGCAGCACCTTAATTTCCCGGAAGAAATTATAAATTAGCATATGCAAAATTGTGTGGTGGACCTGTTGCCCCCAAGTGTTTTGAAGTACCCACCAAAGACCCTGATCTATCCCAAAGTGTACAGTGGTACCTCTGGTTACGAATTTAATTCGTTCTGGAGGTCCATTTTTAACCTGAAACTGTTCTTAACCTGAGGTACCACTTTAGCTAACGGGGCCTCCTGCTGCTGCCACGCCGCCGCCACGTGATTTCTTTTCTCATCCTGAGGTAAAGTTCTTAACCCGAGGTACTACTTCTGGGTTAGCGGAGTCTGTAACCCAAAGTGTTTGTAACCCGAGGTATTTGTAACCCGAGGTACCACTGTATTCCATAATCAACCATCTAATATTTGCCCCCTCCTCTCAGCTCTTCCAGCTTGAGCTTGCTGGAGTTCCCAGTCATGGTAGTGGTGTGTTTGTGTGTCTGTTTCATGACGCAATGACTCACACTTAAATCAAGGCATAGGTATGTGCTAAAAGTCTTGGTTCAAGTCAGTAATGACATTTAAGGCCGATGGGATAAAAACAAACAACTGGTATTTTTTAACTTTCTGAAACCAGTCCCTTCTCTTACTTAACTTCTTTCATTTTAGGTATAAATTGCCTAAAATGTTCCAGCTTCTAAACAGCTGCAAAGTATCTGAAGAAGGCAGGTGAACAGCTGACGTGGACAGACTCTAGAGGTCCCCTGCTGGGGTGTAAGTCTTGGCCCGTGCCCAGTATTGCGGACTCCTGACGCTAAACTTTCATGAGACTGCGTTGATGTTGCTGTGCTTCACAATCAATGGGTGAAATAGACCAGGCCTACTGAAAAGTCGTGATTGGTTGTGCTACCTGGGTTTCACAGATTTGGAAGGGAGGTGATTGCAATGAGCTGCTTGGCTCCATCACCAGTGATGACAGGTGATGGGTGGGTGGGTGTAGCTTGGGGGAAATGGCCTGGTGGGCTAAGATTGGCTCATGAGCTAATTCCCCACCCCTGATTTAGGACAACTATTCCTTAAACGTGCAGGGTATTAGCAAGTTTACAGTAACAGAGGGCATGGCCCTCAGTAGAGGATTGTCTATTCTTGGCTGTGTTTGGGGCCTCTACTGAAGACCTTCAGTTTTCCCCAACAAGGTTTTTAAGTGGAGATATTTATCCCAGTCTGTGTCTGTCTTGGATTTGAAATTTGTCAGTCACTTTTTCTTGCCCAGGACAACCAAAAGAGCCTTAGTTGTGTCTGGGAGGAGAGGAGCTGGAGAAAGCAAGCCCCCCCCCCCCCAATTGCAATGGTTCTGGGTGGGAAGTGGGGCAAGCTGGGTAAGGGGCACACGGCACAGGAAAATATATGTCATTGCTTTTTATTGTTAAATTTATTCTGAATTTAGTCTGAAATTGCTTTGAGATGTACTACAGTGGTACCTCAGGTTAAGAACTTAATTCGTTCTGGAGGTCCGTTCTTAACCTGAAACTATTCTTAACCTGAAGCACCACTTTAGCTAATGGGGCCTCCCGCTGCTGCTGCACTGCTATCGTGTGATTTCTGTTCTCATCCTGAAGCAAAGTTCTTAACCTGAGGTACTATTTCTGGGTTAGCGGAGTCTGTAACCTGAAGCGTATGTAACCTGAGGTACCACTGTAAATGTTGCTTTGAGACGTTGGAACTCCCTCCCTATTGATATCAGGGATGTGCTTTCACTGTACTCTTTCCGGCACCTGCTAAAAACTGTTTTTTGTTAGGGAAGCCTATCCAGACGCATAGAAGCTGTCATGTGTTTTGATCTGGTTTTAGCTTATTGCCGATTTAAATTATCCATTGAATGTTTTAAAAACTCGCTTTTAATCCTTTTTATCGATAAATTGATTGCTTTGTTCTCTTTTGTAAACCGCTCTGAGGTTTGATTACAATCAAGCAGCATATACAAGTTGTTCAGTTTTTAAAAAAACCACCCAAATAGATGGGATGAAATAAAATAAACTTGAACACAGATTCAGAGAATCAGAAGCCAAATTCTACTTGGGTGATGAAGCGTTCCTATAATGCATGCCACTAGAACAGCTGTTTCTGAGGGGTGGGAAGACTTCAGGAAAAATGGTGGAACTCCTTCGTGTTCTTCCCAACACAAGTGGATGTATCTTCTGCACATTCATGGGGCTCCCTGGATCCTGCCTGTAGAACCTGGATCACACAACAGCCATAAAATTCTGTTGAAAGATGTCCATTGTACCTATGAGTTCCTTCTTGCTGTAGAGTGTTAAGGAAGGGTTGAGCATGTAGATTGTATTCAGAAGTTCCCAGGTCTTTAAAATAAAAATAAAAGTTATGATTTTCAATTTTATACATTTCAGTAATTTTACAATCATTTTAACATTTTGAAACTCGACTTCCTTCCCCCTCTTTCTGCAGTTTCTTAAATTTATTTTTTTATATTTTCCGCATATTCCAAATTAACTTAATCATTTATTCATCTGCTTTCGATGTATACTCTTATAAAACTGCAGATTATTACAATAATCCTGCTAATGTTCTTATCTGTTTACAGTTTGTAAATATTCAATAAACCATTTCCATTCTTTTATAAAAAGTTTATCTTGATTTCTCATTTTTCCTGCAAGTTTTGCCATTTCTGCATATTCCACAAGTTTTTGCATCCATTCTTCTTTCATCAGGATGACGACTTCTTTCCATTTTTGGGCAAATTACATTCGTGCCGCTGTAGCCTCATACATGAATAAATTCCTTTACAGTTTGGGTAGTTCTGTCCCTATAATTCCACAAAAGGTCCCAGGTTCAGTCCTCACCATCTCCAGTTAGAAAGGTTCAGGGAGCAAGCAATGAGAAAAGGCTCTCTGCCCAAGATTATAGAGAGTCAGCACTACTTAGAGTCGACAGATCTTCTCTAGATAGACAAATAGGTTGACGGTATAGACAGCAGCTTGCATATGAATCTCTGGTTTACATCAAGGCAAGAGCACCTTGAGCTTAACTTTTAGCTGTGTGTTCTTATGATGATTTTTTGGAATTGTCTCCATTGGATTCAAACCCAATGGTAGCCTTATTGGGGGTTCCAGGTATTATTATTATTATTATTATTATTATTATTATTATTATTATTAAAGAGAGGTCTTATTCCATCTTTTCTTCACAGGTGGCAAAGTTATTGATTGTTCTACATGTGCACACTCCTGATCTGGAAGATAAATTTGGAAGTGCAAGCTGCTCTATCTTCACCTGTCAAGCAGTCCAAAATGGTATGTCAATCTCTCTCTATGAATTGCTGTGTTTTTTTCAATGGCCTCTTCTCCCCAAGTCTGTGGGCTGACAGCCCACATTCTACACTTAGAATAACTGTATGCCCTTAATGAGATTAATCCGGGTTGTGTCCAATGTTAGTTCTACTCAGAGTTGACCCACCTGGTTGTTTCCAAAGCAGCACTAAGTTAAGGTCACTTGTGTTTGTTTCACGGGCAAAATGTTTGGTGGCTGCTGGACATTGTTGTGCAAGAGACTACATAAGCAGAACTCTTGCACTAGTGGACAGAGAATGTTAGATTAACAGTCATGTGTAATTTACATCCATTAATTCTAATGGGTCTACTCTGGGTAAAAGTTAGTTGGATACAAACTTCTGTTTCTGTTTCTTTTTTAATTCCAATTAATGAAACCTAGTGGCTGTGTACCAGTGGGTCTTCTTTTTCTTTGGCGATCACTCGTAGCTGAGTAAGATTGCCTTCCATGAACACAGTTTTAACAGTGACTGTGGAGGCCAATTTTGGATCCACACATCCTTCCATAGTGGGGACATATGTTTCCGGGCAGGAGTTGATCACGGTGAGGGTTTGCCAAGCGTGCCTTACTCTTAGCACGTTTCTCCCTTTTGTCCTGAGTTTGAGAATCTTCAAAGCCAATTACACCTTTGGTAAAGGCTGTTCTCCAATTGTCTATGTTTATACTACATTTACTGCCCACGTCAAGCACGTTGATATTTCCCCGTGTGATCTTGGGGACTCAGGTTGCCAAGGAGGAATCTCAATGTCTGACATTTAAGGAGAACTGGCAAGCTGTCAGATGTGTAACAGGACTGGCCTTGTTGACCACCAGCCTCAATGAGCAGCTGTATTCCTGCATTGCTTCCAGTTGTACCTGTAGCCAGAGCACTTACTTTTCTCTGTGTGGATGTACTGGTTGATGGTGTCTATTGAGCTCTGTGGTTCAATACAAGGTTATCAACCATCTACACCTGATAGGGACATCATCCTTCTCTCAGTGGTGTTGTCATGGCAGGACTTCGGGTCAGATGTCCAGGAGGCTACTCAGCAGAATGAGCAACAGGACCCCCCAAATGTAGCATATTACCAGATTGAAGTAATAAACATTGCTAGCTAGAAAGGGGTGGAAAGGACACACACAAAACCATCAAGGCAAGAGTCTAAGATTACTTGCATGCACCCCTGCACTTCCTTTCTCGAGAACTGAATTTTGCAACTTTGCATTCGGAGTATGTTAGGAGGACTTTATGACAATAACTGATGGGAACATATAGATTTTTTAAGATTTTGAAAATAAGGTGTTTTCTTGTTTTTAAGCTGTAATGCTTTGAGATAAGGATTTGCTGTACAAATAATTTGAACTGGATATACAAGAAGGGGAGGTACGAGGAGGTCAGGGAAATATGAGAAAATAAGTTGTGAAATTTATCTGTTTTTAATCTTTTTTATGTTTGCTTTTTTCTTTTTGTTTGTAAAAAATTGGAAACTTTAATAAATATATTTTAAAAAAATAATAGATTTTTTAAGATTTAAAGGACAGTGGTACTTGAGTTTTTAAATTCTTTTGGCTGAGCAAGCACTGGAGCATGAACAGAGGCTAACAGCAGGCCTTTCTTCAAGGCAGGAAGTTTGCCACCTGAACACTGGATCAGCTGTTGTTGAACTACAACTCCCATCAGCCCCAGCCATTACCGTGGCCAATAGTCAGAGAGGATAAGGCTCACATTCCCTGCCAGCTGTTATTCAGAGGCCTCTGATATTGGAGGTAGTTCACAGCTCTTGTGGCTTCTAGCCATTGCTAGCTCCCTGCCCCATGAATTTGTCTAGCCCTCTTTTAAAGCCAGCTGAGTAAGTGACCACCATTGCGTCATGTGATGGTGCATTGCATACTTCAGCTGTCCACTGTCGGAGGCAGTATGCCTCTGAATACTAGTTGTGGGGATTTGCAATTCAGAAGAGTCTGTTTCATTCATGCCCTGCTTCTGGATTAGATGGGCCTTTGACCTACTCTAGCAGAGCTCTTCTCGTGTTCTTAGAAAGTGGCTTTCCTGAATCTCCCCATTGCAGTATCTTTACTAATCTGCTGGCTTTTGACCACATTACAAAGCCCTACATTTGCTTAGTATAAAAGTGATACACTACAGCGAAGGCTGAGGACGCGGGTGGCGCTGTGGGTTAAACCACAGAGCCTAGGGCTTGCCGATCGGAAGGTTGGCAGTTCGAATCCCCGCTACGGGGTGAGCTCCCATTGCTCGGTCCCTGCTCCTGCCAGCCTAGCAGTTTGAAAGCACGCCAGTGCAAGTAGATAAATAGGTACCACTCCGGCGGGAAGGTAAACGGTGTTTCCCTGCGCTGCTCTGGTTCACCAGAAGCAGCTTAGTCATGCTGGCCACATGACCCGGAAGCTGTACGCTGGCTACCTCAGCCAATAAAGCAAGATGAGCGCCGCAACTCCAGAGTTGTCGCCAACTGGACCTAATGGTCAGGGGTCCCTTTACCTTTTACAGTGAAGGCTGGTCCATTAAGGCAAATGAGTCAACTTCCCCCACAACCTTAGCCTGCCTTCAGCCAGCTTCTCATCTGTCTCACTTCCTATTTACAACCAGCCCAGGGGGTGGCCCTGCCTGTCAGCTTCCTCCTTCTTAGTCTCAGCATTGCCCTTGTGGAACTCAACCAGGAGGAGGATACTGACAAGACTAGAATCAGTTGGCTCTACCTGTTATTTGCTCTGGCGCCACCTACTGTTGGGCTCCCTGCCTTCCTACCTATCAGGGCTACAGGGTCCCAGCTGCTGCTGGGTACACATTTCCTGTTGTGAGAGGAGAAGTGCCTAACATGAAAGTTTCCCCTCTGATTAAATCTGCCCCCCTCCCACCAAGCACAGCACGGCACAGCATCCTGCAGATCCCATTTACCCCCTACCACTCCCTTTCTTCCTAAGCGTCAAGCATCCTAAGGAGGCAGCGCTGGCGCCAAGTTCACTACAAATCCTCCCAGGGATGGCATGGCATGTGCGCATATCTCAGACACCACTTTAAAACCACTTCCTTAGGGGGGCTGGAGACTGCAGAAAACCAAGGCTCCAATTGACCTTTTCTGTTACCAATCCATTGAACAGGAGAAGAATTCCTCAGCCATCCTTGCCCACAGGGAATAAAACGTGATGTTTAGAAGCTTCCTTTAAAAGAAAGAAAGGAAAGGAAAAGGTCTAACTGCAAGGCCAGATTAGAATGCATAGCAGATCTGTGCTTGGGGATTCCACACACCTCCACCAGCATTTTGTGTATGCATTTTTCATTTGTTTTAAAACAAAAACGTTTAGGGATTTTTAATACCACCAATCCAATCCGGTACCTCAAGATTTAAGAGGCAGACCAACGTATCAATGTATAAAACCTAACCAGGAAGTATTGCAACGGAAATAGTAGCAAGTAGCAAGTTGTAATATTTGTGTGAGTGCTTTCAAATGTTCACCTAGAATCTCTTGTGTGTGCAATCTTATAACAGCCCTGTAAGGTGGGTCAGTATTATTATTTTAATGCTCCTATTGCAGATGTAAGCGTAGTGTGTTGAATTCCCCCTTGTGAGATTTATTTGAGGCACAGCTGCTTCTACCTAGAGATGTGCATATTTAAGTTTCTCTAAGTTTCTCATTTTCCCACCCTGCTCTTTGCATTTCTACATCAGTGTGATTTTTTAGCTTAAAAAAACCCTTATGAAAATTAATCTGAAAGTTCCTCCTAATATACACATTTTTGCAAATCACTTCCGCCTAATATAATTAGGGAACTGCGCTGCAAAATTCAGAGAAGTGCAAATTCCAAAGGATGGCTGTGTTTCAGTTCACGTATTGTTTCAGAACATGTGAGCCTACATAACTGTTTGTGTATGTTACGTTCATTTCAGTCTAAGAGAAATATCAAAACAATTCTTAGAAAGTCATTAATTACATATCCTTCGCAGACTTAGAAAAAACAACAATGATGCGAATGCATACTAATCGTATTTGCTTGACTGATTTTCATTCTTGACCGCAGACGATCAGGCAAACCGCAGCAATTTCTGCTTCCTTGTCCGTTAGCATCAGGATTGTCAAACATTCCTTGAAACACTCCACCAGCTACAACTAAGTGGAGCTAAATGGTATAAAATATACCTTCACTTTATCGCTGAGAGAGCTGCCACGCAAAAGATGGTGCGGACTTTTGCTGCAGAGAAAGAGGACTAGAAATGGCAGGGCAGCATATCCTGGCTAAACATGACAGAGAACTCCCTAATATTAAGAGATGTTTGATAGGGGAGCAGACTGCCTTGGGAGGTGGTCCAGTGTCCTTGGATGCAGGGTGCTTAAGCAGAGGCTGGACAACTGTCTATCAGGGCTGCTGTAGCAATGCATCCTGCATTGTAGAACTTAGTTGGATATCACCCTTTTGGTCTTAAATGTGCTGCAGAAATACAGCATAGGCTTGACTCTTTTATACATGGACTATATGGGACCTGGCCAGGGCCGGATTTAGGTGGCACTGTGGGTTAAACCACAGAGCCTAGGACTTGCCAATCAGAAGGTTGGTGGTTCGAATCCCCATGATGGGGTGAGCTCCCGTTGCTCGGTCCCTGCTCCTGCCAACCTAGCAGTTCGAAAGCATGTCAAAGTGCAAGTAGATAAATAGGTACCACTCCGGCGGGAAGGTAAACAGTGTTTCCGTGTGCTGCTCTGGTTCGCCAGAAGCAGCTTAGTCATGCTGGCCTAATGGTCCAGTCACGGACAACTCTGAGGTTGCGGCACTCATCTCGCTTTATTGGCCGAGGGAGCCGGCGTACAGCTTCCGGGTCATGTGGCCAGCATGACTAAGCCGCTTCTGGCGAACCAGAGCAGCGCATGGAAACACCTTTTACCTTCCCGCTGGGGCGGTACCTATTTATCTACTTGCACTTTGACGTGCTTTCAAACTGCTAGGTTGGCAGGAGCAGGGGCAGAGCAA